CCCCGCAGATGTGAATCTCCCCCATTCTCCCACAACCCCCCACCGCGGGAGCGAGTCTCCCCCCAACCCCACCAACTTCATAATCTGCAGCTTCAAATCAGTTCATGGTTTTGAAGGAGAACCCCGAAGGTTCGAAGCCCAAACTCACCTTCGATGGACTGTGACGTCTGTATCGTACTGAAGCCATTCTGTAAAGAGGAAATCACAGTTGAGTGCTACAGCGACATGTCTCAGTAAGTAGGGCAAGAGAGGGAGAAAAAAGGGCAGGAGGAAATGCAGGAGGAGGTAGAGAGGACAGAGTGGTTGGGGGGGTAGAAGAGGGAACAGGACGGGGCGGGGGGTGGAAAGGTGGGAAAAGGATAGGGAGAGGGGGGTGGGGTGGTGGGAAACAAAGGCACAGGGGTAGGGGAGGGATGGAGACTGAGAGGGATTGGAGGTGTGGGAGAAAAGGGACAGGGAACAGGCAAAATGAAGGGAAGATGGGGAAGCAAAGAGGGAAAAAGAGAGGGGTACTGCAGGAAGAAAAGGAAAGGGAGAGAGAAGGAAGGGAAGAGGAACAGGAGTTGTGCCTGTGTTGGGGGAAGGGGGTTGAAGGCGGAGAAGGAAATGGAGAGGGAACCAGAGAGGGTGGGTGAGAGAGGGGGAATGGGAGGGAAGGAGGGAGGAGAGGGCGACAAAGCGAGGGAGGGGTGAAAGATAGAAACCGCAATGTGAGGGCTGAGTGCTGATTACCTTGGCTTGCGTCAGGTCCTTCTGAGGAGAGGAGGAGAGGGAATTTGAGTACGCTGCCCGCTGGTTGGAGCTCTGCTCGTACTGTGGCCCGGGAGCACTGTTCTGGGTTGTGAATGCCGAGGTTGTGATCGTGCTGGGCTGGTATCCCGACTCTTGGCTCTGATTAGAGGGGATTGTCGATGATGACGACTCGCTACGAGAGAACAGGAGAGGCGAAAACGTGTAACTCGGCACTGCCACAAGTGACTGGGTCAAATGGTAGAGATGTGTGTAACAGAGAAGCTGGATAATCACATACAAGGCAAGAGGGAACAGCAGGATGTTTTCCTTTTATTTGTTTGCAGGATGTGGGCATTGCTGGCTGGGCCCATTGCTTTTTGCCAAGCCCGAATTGCCCCTTGAGAAGATGGTAACGAGCTGCCTTCTCAAACTACTGCAATCTACCTAGAAGGCAGTTAGATTCTCACCCAGTGACACTGAAGAACCGCCAATATATTTCTAACAAGGTGAGAGAGCGCACGACTGCATGGACAGCTAGGGTGGGGGGGCGGGCAGGGGAAGAGGCTCGGATGGGAATTTGCAGGGCGTGGTGCTCCCTTCTATCTTCCGTCCTTGTCTTTCCAGGGGGTAGAGGTCACCGGTTTGGAAGGTGCTGTCCAAGGAGCCTTGGGGAGTTGCTGCAGTACTCCTGGAGATGGTACACACTGCTGCGACTGAGCGTCGGTGGCGTAGGGAATGAATGTTTGTGGATGTGGTGCCAATCAAGCGGGGTCTGCTGCTTTGGCCTGGATGGTGTCGAGCTTCTTAGAGCTATATTAATCCAGGTGAGTGGGGAGTGTTCCCCCACATTCCTGACTTGTGCCTTCCTGGTGGTGGACAGGCTTTTTGGAGGAGGAGGGGGGGTCCCAGGATGAGAGTTACTCACTGCAGAATTCCCAGCCTCTGACCTAATCCCGTAGCCCCAGTGGTTGGGCCACTTCACTTTCTGGTCAATGGTATGTTGATATATCAATTTATTAATCTCTCTTATGGGAGATGGTGTGTGGCCAGGGCATTGGTGCGAAGGTAACATGATGTTCATCAGTGCAGACCCAAGTTGTGTCCCAGTTTCCCCAGACTGCCGCAATATTTGCAAAGTCTTGAATACAGCGGAGCGCCAATCGTCAGCGTAAATCATTGGAGTTGCGAGAAGGTTCCCAGCCGAAGAGGATTCAACCGAAGGCCCTAAGCCGAGGATCTGCTGCAGCCATGCCCTGAGCAGGAATGGAAAAGTATTTGAACGCGCACGGACTCACCTCACAGCACTGGTGTAGGGGCTGCTCTGGGGCTGGCTCACCGGCACACTGGTCGTTGGGGTAGCTTCATACTCCGATAGCATGGGCTCGGAGCCGAACTGCAGGGCCCCAAACTGCAGGTTTAACCCCGCTATGTCTGCTGAGGCAGGCATCTCCACAGCGGAAGATGGGATCTACAGAGGGGGGTGGGGGTGCGAGGGGAGGGCAGAAAAGTTTGAATGAAATGGTTGACATCTCTCACAGAGTCCAGATGAATAGTCTGTCACTTAGATACATTCCTACAGAACATTCAAAAACTTATTGCACTAATTACATACTAAGCTTTTAGCAAATTCTTTCATGGCCACAAGGTAGCAGCTGACCTGTATATAAGCAAGCTCTCACGAACAGCGATGTGATAGCCTTGCTGAAGCTATTCACCTTTCACTCATTAGGGCAAGAGGAGGCCAAATTTCACAACAATTTTCCTCATGGAGGGGGGGGTGCAGGGTGGGAGGAAGAAAGTGTGCTCATTGGTTGGCAAATTGACTCTGATGTTGCCAAGGAGGAAGCAATGAGGCGCTATAGGCTCCCCAGCACAAAACGAAGCGCAGATGCTGGAAATCTGAAACAAAGACAGAAAATGCTGGGAGAAACCCGTGGGGCAGCATCCGTGGAGAGAAAAAAAGGCAGGGTTAACGTTTTAAACATTTAATGTAACCCTACTGGACTCAAAGTGTTTTTCTCTCTGCAAATGCTGAACTTCTTCAATGCCGTTCTGCTTTGGGCTCCCCAAACTCCTAAATAATTTAAAGAAAAGGGCTCAAGGCTTGAGCATATCCCTTTTGTTTGCAGAGCACGTGTCCTTGCATATGAATGTGGGTCACTTCTAGCAAGTGTAAATAAACCACACCAAGAGCTTGATTATCTTAACTTGGTGGTTCGCACAGCTATTAACGCACACGGGATTGTTTGGCAAGTGACATCCAGTCCAAGAATCACATCTGACAGCAGCGGCGTTGAGATATGGATCAATCACGATCACGTTGGATGGTAGATTTCCTTTCCTAAAGAACATCAGTGAAGCAGGCAGGTTTTGACAAGAACCAATGACAGTTTCACAGTCACCGTGACTATGGATTCCAATTCCAGCCTTACTAATTTGTTGACGATAAATGCCACCAGCAGCCCTGGAAGGATTTGAACACATGTCCCAAGACCCTATCTTTTGATTTTTCTGCATTTTTGATTGTGGGCTGAAGTGGGAAAAGAACTGATTTAAAAGAAAAAAAGAATTGTTGAAGGGTTTGCTGCCCCTCTGAAACTAACCTGATACTCACTGTAAGTGCTGTTTACACAGCTGCTTCCTTGAGCAGTAATGGTAGCTTAGCTTGCCGACAAGCTTCAGCTAGAGGGTATACAAAGGGAGCTTTGGCTTGCAACAGGTAGGTGATTGGTCTGTAGACTAGTGGCCAGTTATATGATGACAAAGGCCTTCTAGCTGCCAGCAACAATGTGATTTGCTCCCCAGTACGTGAATAGCTTTTCTTTTGGGGTGGGGGGGCGGGGAGGGGTGATGGTGTGTGTGTGTTTGTGTGAATATTTTGGCAGAAACTCTGGAGGAAGATGGAAGCTGTTTTCACTGTACACAAAACAACATTGCAAATCTAAAGGTAGCCAGCAAATGGGATATTGTCCTCCATTGCTAGAGGGATGGAATTTAAAACAGGAGGTTCACTGGACTGGTTCCAGAATCGAGAGGGTTGGCTTATGAGGAGACATTGAACAGTCTAGGACTGTACTCATTGGAATTTAAAAGAATGAGGGGGTATCTTATGGAAACCGGCATATACAATTATTAAGGGAATAAATAAGGTAGAAGCAGGGAGGCAGTTTCTACTGGTCGGTAAAACTAGAAAGAGAGGGGCATAGTCTCAAAATAAAGGGGAGCAGATTTAGGACTGAGTTCAGGAGGAACTTCTTCACCCAAAGGGTTGTGAATCTATGGAATTCCCTGCCTAGTGAAGCAATTGAAGCTAACCCATTGAATGTTTTTAAGGCACAGATGGATTTTGGACCAGTAAAGGAATTAAGGGTTCTGGTGAGCAGGCGGTTAAGAGGTGCTGAGTCCACAAAAAGATCAGCCACGATCTTATTGAAAGGTGGAGCAGGCTCGAGGGGCCAGGTGGCCGACTCCTGCTCCTGTTTCTTATGTTCTTCGGTTATTTTCCCTTTCCTGTTACTCTAAGGGGTGACTTTTAATTGGTAAGTATTCACACTTGATAAGTGAGTCACCCAGTGCCTTTTGCAAAAAAGTACAAGCATCCGGAGAAGGGAGATTGAGAAGCAGCTAAAACGTTAGGGAATTTTAGCAATTGCTGTGGACTAGAACTACTGAACTGCCTTCCCAGTCTTTCCCTCAGTCCATAAAACCCATGTCTTCCCCCCCACCCCGGTCTATGTCTGTATGCATACAGGATGAGTTTATCAGAGGATTAGAGTTTTACAAACTCGTAGAAATTTTAATCTCGTAGAAGTTTATGCTGATGGCTTAATTGGTTACCTGCAGCTAAAATACATTTGCCACAAGCAGTCATTTCTGTTAAAACACAGAAATCGGGTCTGTGTTGTCAATCTGGCTCTGCAAGAAATTGGAAAATTGTGCACAGTTTTTAAAACATTTAACATCCATGATGACTCGGGAATAGCTGAGGGTCCATTTGTAGTCTGTTACCCTGGTGAGGTGTAACATTACGCTGTGCCACTGCGTCCTGTTGGATGGCAAGAACTGAACTGCAACACACATTACCCTTCAAAAAGCAAATGATTAGCTGTAGAGTGCTCCCTTTGGGTGGTGGTGGTGGTGCTGGTGGGGGTGGGGGTGGGTGGGAGGAGTGGAGCAGCACCGCAAGTGATGTTAGGTGCTGCATAAATGCAAAACTGCCTTCAACACCATAATTCCCCATAAACCCATCTCTAGACTTCGAAACCCTAGGTCTTTGCTCCCCGCCTCGATAACTGGATCCTTGACTTCCTGACCCATAGCTGCAATCAGTAAGGACAGGGGACAGCACCTCCTCCATGATAATCCTCAACACCGGTGCCCTGTAAGGCTGTGTACTCAGCCCCCGACTATACTCCTTATACACTCACGACCACGTGGCCAAATTCCACCCCAACTCCATTTACAACTTTGCTGACGATACCACCGTTGTAAGTCAGATCTCAAACGACGACGAGACGGAGTACAGAAAAGAGACGGAGTGCTTAGCAGCATGGTTTTTAAAAACAACAATCTCTCCATCAACAACAGCAAAACGAAGGAGCTGATCATTGACTACAGGAAGCAGAGTGGAGGGTACAGCCCCGTGTCTGCATCAGTGATGCTGAGGTGGGGATGGTCATGTTCTTGGGAGTGATGATCACCAACAATCTGCCCTGGTCCCCCCCACATCAACGTGACAGTCAGGAAAGCACAACAACGTCCCTACTTCCTCAGGAGGCTAAGGAAATCCTGCATGTCCACAATGACTCTCACCAATTCTTACAGATGCACCATAGAAAGCATCCTATCTGGATACATCACAGCGCGGTATAGAAACTACTCTTCCCAAGACCACAAGACAGTCATGAACTCGGTCCAGTCCATCACGAAAACCAGGTTTCCATCCATTGGCTCCATCTACACTTCCTGCTGCTTTGGGAAAGCAACCAACACAATCAAAGATCCCTCTCATCCTGGTTATACTCGCTTCCACCCTCTTCTGTCAGGCATAAGATATAAAAGTTCTACGAATAGATTCAAGAACAGCTTCTTCCCCGCTGTTATCAGACTTTCGAACAGTCCTCTCAAACATTAATTCTGATCTCCCCCTACTCCTCTGTGGCTGAAACACTGTATTCTGCTACCTGATGCACTTTGTATGGTACAATCTGCCTGGATAACACACAAAAACAGCACTTTTCACATACCTGTGACAACAATAAATCAAACTCAGCTACTGCCTTTTTACCACACAGTCAACGCTTACCTTCGAAGCAATAGAGGCCTTTTTCTTCTGTGGCTTCAGTTTCTGCTGTGCAGGCTGGGGGCTAGAGGACTGGTTCTCCGAGGCTCCGGGAGACGCCTGGGTAGTGCCGGCTTTGCTCTGCAGTGGGGAATTTGGCGCTGCCGTTGGCTGCTTGCTGGGGATGAAGACTTCCATCATACTGGAGTTGGAGTAGGACTGCCTCTGACTGAAGGCGCTGTGGACTGAAGATTCTGTTTGGCTTTTCAACTCTGGATTCCAAATGGAGACACCCAGTCAGCACTGCCACACCCTCAGGAAGAACCTCTCTCTCTAACACGCACGCATATGTGGAGCAGGCCCTTCAGTCCCTTGAGTATGCCCTGCTATCCGACAGGATTACAGCTGGTTGGAATGAATGTAACCTACCCCACCGTACTCTTGCGTATCAAAAATCAGCCTCTTACAGAGTCATACGGCATGGAAACAGACCCTTCGGCCCAACTCATCCATGCCGAACAAGTTTCCCAGGCTAAACTAGTCCCACTTGCCTGCGTTTGGCCCAATGCCTCTTAAACCTTGCCTATTGATGTACTTATCCAAATGTCTTTTAAATGTCATAACTGCATCTGCATTTACCACTTCCTCTGGCAGCTCATTCCGCACATGAACCACCCTCTGTGAGAAAAAGTTGCCCCTCGGGTCCTTTTTAAATCTTGGTCCTCATTTCTAAAATATGCCCTCTTGTTTTGAGCTCCCCTATCTCAGGGAAGAGACCTTTGCTTTTCACCTTAACTATGCCGCTCTTGTTTTTACAGACCTCTTCAATCACAGGAAATCAGCATTGCTGACTCGATCAGTGTTTATTCCCTTCCCCAACTACCCCTCGAGAAGGTGGTGGTGAGCTGCCTTCTTGAACCGCTGGGGTGTAGAGACACCCAGTGAATCCATACCGCCCCGACTCTGGTCCCCGAGCACCTGCTGCCCCTTTAGAATTGTAGCAATTTAGTTTGGAATCTCTCCTCCTGGTTTTCCTACTCAAGCAGTCAATGCAGTCTAGCAGAGCTGGGCTGCTGTCCCATTCAGTTTCAGTTCCCTGCTAGTGAGCGTATGGATACGCCGCCTTCTCTCGCACAGGCACAGATACACACACACACACACACACACACACACACACACACACACAGTCGATCCAGCTCTTACCAAAATGGCTGAGTGCTGATGGCTGTGATGTGGGGCCCATGTCCCAGGAGGAGGCAGCGTTACTGGTGGGTTGAGTGTGCTGGGCGGCTAACTGGGCCAGCGCTTGAGCTGTCTTCAGCTGCTCCAGCAATTGCGATCCCGCAGTGCTGCCACCTTTGGGCTCACCGACATCCCCGAAGTTCTTACTCAGCATGCTGACCTGTGGGCGAGACCGGGTGGAGATTGAGACAAAGAGAGAGAAAGAATAAGGAGACAAGTTACAACGTCCTGGACATCAGGGATGAAGGCTCCTCATTTGTCTTTAAGGCTCTGCATGGACTAGCTCAAATGAAATACTTCCCAAACACCCAAGCACTTCCTCCGTTTAAAAAATGGGGAAAGTTTCGGAAGGCTTCGACTGCTTTCTCAGTTGCAGGGAATACACGGAAGACTGAGACGTGTTGGGAATGTCACTGAAGTGGGAATCCAGAAAGCAGTAAACAACAGAAGACCAAGAACTGCGGATGCCGGAAAACAGAAACAAAAATAGAAATCGCTGGACAAACTCAGCAGGTCTGGCAGAATCTATGGAGAGAAAATGATCCTTCTTCAGAACAGTTCTTCAGCACTTTACATAAAGAATAACAGATATCTGAATACAAGTTGCAGATTGGAATCTTATCAAGAGGTTTAAATGTAGAATAACAGATCCCCGGGAGTGAGTTACAGACTGGAATCTAATCCGAGCGATTCAGGGAAGGGCATTATACATCCCATTCCTTCAGGTGTGCCAGTTCAAAAGCCAAACTGAGCATCAGTCTGAGGGCTCCCCAGCCTGGCGCGGCCCTGCTTACCATGTTGTGCTGCGGGAATGTGGTCGGAGGAGACGGCTGCGAGACTGGATGCTGCTTGGAGTTGTTGAACACCAGAGGCTGAGAGAGCGTGGGCGAAGCCGAGGTGTCCAGGGGAGCCGGCTCATTCTCCGACACAGAGGGCTGCTTCCCCAACAACACTGCCAGGTCGATCCTGCGTCACGGGGAAAGGAAGTGAACATTATGGCAGGATTCTGGAGTCAGGTCATTGCACGTGAAGAGTCAATATCGAATATCGGGCCCGGCGAAGAACATTCAGCATGGGTTTGTTCAACCCAGTAGTAAACTATTTGGAGCTGGTGACTTAAAACATCTCAGCCACATGGAGATGTGAAGGAAACGGACAATGTCCTGCAGGCTGATGCAACTGTCCAAACTGAAACAGGACCATGTGTAGAAATACCTCCCTGTACTCATGACAAGGCTGATGTTCCTGCTGCTGGTCAAAGGTGTAAAGAGGGACCAGCTTCATAGGAATTCAGAGCAGGACAGATAGAACGCTCTCATTCAAGAGAATCACAGGAGAGTAGAAAGCCACTTGGGTCTATCTTGCCTGTGCTGGCCTCGAGAGACCTTGCAGCCCGCTCCTTTCACCTTGAAGCTATCTTCCGTCATCTCTACCCAAGAATGGAACAATGGATGCCCACAATCCCTACACCCATCACCCAGAAACAGCTTCACCCTGGCAGCAATGTGTGTGTTTTTGGGGTGGGGTGGGTCTCGTCTCATCTGGGTCTGTGCGTGCCCATCCATTTGTCAGTGTGCACACATCTGTGTCCCTGCCTCTGTGTGTCACTGCCTCTGTGTGTCACTCTCTG